TCACACAGGTCTTTCTTTTATTGGTATCACAGCTATTGATATTTGATGTCATTAGTTATCTTTTCTCTTTATTGAGTTTAGATCAAGTTTGGGAATGAGATATAAGAAATCTAATGACCTTTGTGGCTACGAAATACACCCACGGTTTAAGAATTATTGAAATATTCCAACACCGAAAATACACTCTGCATAATGAGTATTCTATGCTATTTTGGAGTAGTGATATGAAGAAGATAATTAGGTGTTTTCCATTACATAATTCAGTGATATTGTGTGTATTTGAGATTAGGATCTATTTGCAAAATTTCAGCATGAGATCGTACGGGAATTGAGAGTTATGGAATCATCAATGAAGGGTGTCAGTTTTGACCTTGTAAAATCTAAGAATTGTCTATTGAGTTTCATGATTTTTCCTACCAATCATATGATTATATTTCTTGTTAAAATTTTACCGTGATCACAAAATTGAGTCTACTTTAAAAAAAAAAAAGTTTGATTAAGAAATTCTTTATGGTTTGAAAGATTTGATCAATTTATTGAAGGGTGCGCAAATGCTATTTTTTGTAATAAAAACTATTTCTATGGCTTGGAAGTCATGATTTTATTTTTATTCTTAACATAATGTTTTATGACTCACACTTAGGTTTTAGACTTCCATTCTGAGTCTAGTTTCTAATAAAATTTATTTAAGGTATAAATATCTATAGGAAGAGAGGAATAAAAATTTTGGATTGAAGAGAGGTCATCCTGAATTTTCTGTAATTTGAAATATTCTTCATTAAGACATGAATAACTATATTTGTCAAGCTTACTTAATAGAGTGATATGAGGCTTGTGGAAATATATGCGCTACCATTATGTGTTTACTTTTAAACAAAATTTGTTTAAAAGGACAACTCCATGAGGGTAGAGAGAAAATACAATTTTATTAGACAGTATTAATCTTGAAATTTTACAGTATGATTTATTTTGTGATATATAAGTCACCTTATTTATTTTTTTGAAGAAAGGCATTATTTGGGTTTCACACCATGATATTATGATTTGATTTTGAGTCTAGTTTTCAATACAAGGGATTTCAGGAAGAAATTTTTTGAGGCTTTAGAGAAACAATTTTTTTTGAGATATGCTCAACTTGATTTTCTGCTGAAAAAATTGCATTATGATGTAAAAGTCACTAAAAGGTATACTCACTAAATGGTGCGATTTAGGGATGGAACTGAGCACTATTTTACATTTTTTTAGTTTATTTCAGTACTCAAAGGATTCAGAGAGAAACTCTTTATAGTTGAGAAATATCGTATTTTTATTGGGGGATGCTCTTGTTCCATGCTGCAGTAAATTAAAAGATGTGGCTTGTTAAGGCACATATTTGGATTCCTAATTATGGAGACTTTTTTTTTAAGGCTCATTTTAAAAGGTTTTATAGTGTGTCACGAGTATGGTTTATTATAATATAACTTCAGAGAGATGTAATACATAGTTGGCAAGATAAGACACTCTATATGAAGAATGTTCAATTTGATAATAGTAGAAAGAAGAAGAAACACAATACCTATAAAAGTATCTTGGTTTCTTCGAAACGAAGGGATATATAGAGAGATTTTGTGGTAGCATAGAAATGCTAAAGATCAGTGGGATAATCAAAATTGTGATATTTGAATTGTGCTAGAGTATGAACTACTTAAGGTAGTAATACACATGGAGATGTAATTTGATCAAGGACTTTGAGCCCTAAGGATGAACCACGAGAGATGAGTGTGGCTTATTGAAATATGTAAGCACGAAATGAGTGTTCCGATGGAACTCGGTCTTAGTGACCATCCTCTCAATAATGTTTATAATATGAGGCGTTGTATTTGATGATGATCTCTTGATAAAGTCTCCATATTTGCCAAAAAAGGAAATGTTTTGTCAAGGCTTTAACAGACATTATTTAGTCATGCTTTATTTTGGATAAAATTATAAGATGGTATTTATGATTTGTTTTTGTGGCCATGAACTTGACTTGGTAGGAAATTAAAAATGAATACGGTAAAATGATTTATGAAGGCTAAGCATATATTTTAAAATTAAAATTGGATGATAGCATGTAGAGATGGAAGAAATGAGGAAGGTAGATGGTGATTTCTGAGCAAAAAATTCATTGGAGTTTGCACCAGAAAACGAGATTTGTGGACTGGTCATGCTGAACATCGAGGCTCTTACAGTGGAGAATAGGTCGTTGGGATATAGAAGAAGGCGATGGAGGATATTAGGGCCATGGTGATTGCCAAGAAACATGGCAGTTTTTACCAGAAAATGGATTCCGGTGAGATAACAGCAGGTTCAGAGATGAGGGGAAGAGGGAGAGCTGTCCGGTATTTCTAATGTCATACAACATTTTTTACTTTGAAAGATATAAACCCTCTTGTTCGGTGTTAGTGTTACTAGACACGAGGGCAACTTGGGGAAAAAAAGAAGAAAAACACCACGGGTGGGGCTGGGGCAGTGGTGGTGCTCGTAATTTCGGGCAAATGTGGGTCCATTTGGTAATTTGCCCCTCCAAGAGTGTTCGTATGAATATTTCTCTATATTTTAAAGATGTGTTCTCAATTCAAAATTTTAGAGTTCGATAATCCCAACCATGATAATGATCTAAATTTACAAAAAAAAAAATTCAAAAAATATGAATTCCTTTCTTCACGGTCCATTTTAGCTTTTAATGGATGCAACATTTTCTGATCGTACTCTCATTTTACTGTGTAGGAGTTGGATTTATGGGTGTTTATCCTCTACACATTTTTTTATACTATTCAAAGGATGCCCTTCGGGGGTTTTTGGAGCCTCACGTGGGCTTCGTCAAGGTGATCCTTCGTCCCATTTTTTGTTCACCATTTATGCAGAGTGCTTTAGTCGTTTTGTTCAGAATGTTAAAGCAAAATGGCAATTTGTGGGTTTTCTTATGCCTAATAATGGTCTGTGTATATCGCACTTACAATATGCTGATGATATATTGCTTTTTTGTGTGGCTAAATGTGACCAAGTTGAGAATATTGCTACGTTCTTGAAATGCTGTGAAGTAGCTTTGGGGCTTAAGGTTAATTTTGAAAAATCTACAGTGATGGGTATTAATTGTGGTGATGGGTAAAGTGAAAGTTTTTCCTATTTTGTACTTGGGGATGCCAATTTCAGATGGATGTTTACCTATTACCATTGAGGACATAGTGATTCAAAGGATACAAGCTAAGCTTGATTTGTGGAAGTATAAATACCTCTCTTTGGGAGGTAGAATTACTTTGGTTAAAGCTTGCTTGTCGAACTTACCAATCTACTAGATGTCTTTGTTACAGATTTCTCCTCGGGTTGCTAAGAAAATTGAGTCCTTGATGAGAAATTTACTCTGGGAGTCTTTTGAAAACTCCAAAAAGTACCATCTTTTATGATGGGACAGAGTGTACTCCTAGGAAGGAAGGTGGTTTGGGTATAAGGAAAATTAGATTAGTTAATCAGGCTTTGCTGTGTAAATGATGGTGGAGAAGTTTAAACTTCAAAGACCAGCTGTTGTATCAAGTTATTTATGCTAAATATGGAGATGATAAATTTAAAATGTGGATTGGAATGAGAAATGATACAAGGGGGATGTCTTATTATTGGAGATCCATTAACTCGTGTAAACCTCTGATACATAGGGACATTAGATGGAATTTGGAAATGGTCGTAATATATCCTTTTGGCACCATAAATGGTTAGGTTCTTCTCCTTTGAAGTATGTCTTCCCATTAGTTTTTCAGCTAATGGATAGCCCCTATGCCGTTATCTCTGATATTTTTTAAATTAGGGGCAATCGGGTTGTTTGGAATATAGTTCTCCCCTATAATAGAATTTCTGACTAGATTTTTCAGGAATATGTTGGTTTGCTAGCACTTCTTCAAGAGGTATATATTCCGCAGATTGCAGTTGATGAGGTTGTTTGGGAGATTGACTCAGATGGATTATACTCGATGAAGTCAATGTATAATCTACTTTTTCATGACCGTTGAAGGTGGTATATGCCTGAAATTGCTGTTATCTGGAAGTGGCCTTTGCCGCTTAAGATTCAAGCCTTTTTGTGGTTGGCAATGCAAGATAAGGTTCTCACTATTGATAATCTTATCAAAAGATGTAAGATTTTGCCAAATATTTGCTTATTATGTAAGAATGATGCTGAAACATGAGCTCATACGTTTTTTGCATTGTTCTTTTATGCTTAAAATTTGGCGTTGGTTATTTGACCAGCTTGGGATTGCTATGATTATGCCTGCGGCAGTCTAGGGGATTATTATGAATTTAGTGGTTTCATGGCTTCTACATTCTAGAGTGGTGATTGGCAAATTGTGAGAGGGTTGATTCTTTTGGAAGTTTGGAATGAGAGAAATAGAATAGTGTTTGATGGGATTTGTTTGCCTGTGGAAAGAATTTTAGAGAAAATTTTACATTCCATTTGGCTTTCATGCTCAATTACAAAAGAGCGGAAATATATTCTTGAAGTGGATGTTAGGAGAAATTTATCGAATCTTTTTCACTTGAGATCGTTTAAGTGTAGGCCTCAGGAGAGAAAGGTACCACCTTAGGTAGGGATTTTTAAACTTAATTTTGATAGTAGCTGTTTAGGAAACCCAGGTCCTGCTGCTTTGGAGGAGTGGTGAGGGATTGGAATGGATCCATCGTCTTTTCTTATGCGGGCCCCCTAGGGGACAAAACTGTAAATGGTGTAGAGTTATTGGCCATATTCTATGGTTTAAAACTTTTCATGGTGAGGAATTTAGGGTCATATTGTGTTGTGGAAGGTGATTATTTGAATGTCATGAAGTGGTGTAATAGGGAGCAAAATTCACCTTGGAAATTTCGGTCCATCTTGCTACAAATTTAGGATCTGTCTAGGCATTGCCTTTTTTCCTTTGTGCATGTCCGCCGTGAGGCCAATGTATTAACAGATTTTCTAGCCAAAGGAGGTACTGCTTTAGCTGAGACTTGGTCTCAGACTCTGTATTTTGCTTTTAGCCGTTGATTAATAAAGCTCTGAACTTCTATTAAAAAAAAATAATTGCAATTCATGATATTAAGTCAATTTTAAATTTTTGATATAAAATGTATAACTCTAAACTTAGCTTCTATTTATTTTTTGTACAAAGAGGTCACAATCACTTTTAGCCTTTGGATGTGAACTCTAATAAATGAAAGTGTCACAAAATTCAAAAAATTTTGTTTTAGACATTGTGCCTAAGCGATAACACATCCTCGACCACCAAATTTTAAATCTAATGGTCAATGATGACTGTGACATCCTTGTATAAAAAATAAGTAGTCTCATTGTATACATTTCTATTAAACAATAATATAACACTGACATAACTAAGTAATTTTTAAAGAAAAGGAAAAATGTGGCAGTAGCCTTATCACTTTTTCTTTTCTTTTTTTTCCATATATTGAAATCAATAGCGGTTGTTTCACCATTATATATTGGCAAACGTGTTTAATAGGGGCCCTCTCCCCACTTACTCACCTAAAAAAAAGAGAAAAAGTCTACTTTTCAGATTTAGAAAAAGAGCTCGGGCTTAATTGGTTAGCTCTTGACAATTTGCAATGCTACATCTTAAGTTCAATTCCTACCAAAGGTAGTGACCCTCTCCTCGCATACTCACCCAAAAAAAAAAAAAAAACAAAATGTGTTTAATAGAGGGGCTAGGTTTTGTATGTATTATACATTTATTCCCTTGGACAATCGACTTCGGATACTTTTTTTAGAAACTGAATAAACATATACTTTCTCAAGAAGAACTCATTAAAGTGGAACAATGTGGTTGAATAGTTAAGAAGTTTTCTCTTCCTTTAGCTATGTAATGCAAATAGAAGTAATACTTAGTTTCATAATTGAATTTAAAACTTTTATTTATACGCTTTTTTTAACCCTCCCTCTTAATCACCACTTTGTGGTCACTAGTCTCTCTCCCTCCTTCTTTTGTGGAAGTAAGAATCAGTGTCTGATTGCGCGAACCGGTCAAAACCCCGACATGGCAGGTCTCGGTGACCCGAAACTTGTCTGAGTAACTAGCCTAGTAGAACAAGTATTAACTAGGCAAAAAAAAAATTTGTTACAAAAATTTAAAACTTCAAAAAATCGAAAAAAAATAGAAAATAAAGTGTAAAGTAAAAAAGAGTAGTAAAAAATAGATTTTAAAATTTAATTCATGATGGGGTCATTTTTATAATAATCCAAAAAAGATGAGAAAATGTAAAAATAAATATTTGTGGTCAAAGTACTTTTCAATCTTTGCCAAAATGAAACAACCAGGGTTTTAAAAAAAGGCGAGTCGACCTGGAATTGCCCAGGTCTACATGGGAATCGGCCACCCTGTGTGCAGATTCCTACTCAATATCAAACGTGTTTAGAGCATAATCGCCGATACGGTGCAGTGAATCGGGTAAATCGTCGTTTCTGTAACGGTACACTACAGTGATCACTCGGCCCGATGGATGATCACCTTTCTAACCGACTCGCACGATGTTATTATTATACCCTTCCAATCGATTCTCACTGATACGGTGCAGTGAATTAGGCAAATTGCCAGTTCTGTAATGGTACGCTACAGTGATCACTCGCCTTGATGATCACCCTTCCAACCCACTCGCATGTTGTCATTATTATACCCTCCCAACCGATTCTCACCGATATGGTGTAGTGAATCGGCCAAATCGCCGGTTCTCTAATGGTACTCTACTGTGATCACTCGCCTCGATAGATGATCACCCTTCCAACCCACTCGCACGCTGTCATTATTATACCCTTCCAACCGATTTTCACCGATACGATGCAGTGAATTGGGCAAATCGCTAGTTCTCTAACGGAACGCTAGATTGTGATCACTCGTCCTGATGATCACCCTTCCAACCCACTCGCACGCTGTCATTATTATACCCTCCCAACCGATTCTCACCGATACGGTGCTGTGAATCGGTCAAATCGCCGGTTCTCTAATGGTACTCTACTGTGATCACTCGCCCCGATGGATGATCACCCTTCCAACCCACTCGTACGCTGTCATTATTATACCCTTCCAACCGATTTTCACCGATACGGTGCAGTGAATTGGACAAATCGCTGGTTCTCTAACGGTACGCTAGAGTGTGATCACTCGCTTCGATGGATGATCACCCTTCCAACCCACTCGCATGCTGTCATTTATATCCTTCTAACCGATACGGTGTAGTGAATCGGGCAAATCGCCAGTTCACTAACAGTACGCTACAGTGATCACTCACCCCGATGGATGATTACCCTTCCATCCCACTTGCACGCTGTCATTATTATACCCTTCCAACTGATTCTCACCGATACAGTGCAATGAATTGGGCAAATCGTCGATTCTCTAACGGTACGCTATAGTGTGATCACTTGCCCTGATGATCACCCTTCCAACCCACTCGCACGTTGTCGTTATTATACCCTTCCAATCGATTCTCACCGATACGGCACAGTGAATTAGGAAAATCGAGTGATCACTTGCCCTGATGGATGATTACCCTTCCAACCCACTTGCACGCTATCATTATTATACCCTTCCAACCCACTCGTACGCTGTCATTATTATACCCTTTTAACCGATTCTCACCGATACGGTGCAATGAATCGCGCAAATTATCGGTTCTCTAATGGTACGCTACAGTGTGATCACTTGCCTCGATGATCACCCTTCCAACCCACTCGCAAGCTGTCATTATTGTACCCTTCCAGTTGATTCTCACCGATACGGTGCAGTGAATCAGGCAAATCGCCAGTTCACTAACAGTACGCTACAGTGATCACTCACCCCGATGGATGATTACCCTTCCATCCCACTTGCACGCTGTCATTATTATACCATTCCAACCCACTCCGCACGCTGTCATTATTATACCCTTCCAATCGATTCTCACCGATACAGTGCAGTGAATCAGGCAAATCGCCGGTTCTCTAACAGTATGCTACATTGATCACTCGCCTTGATGGATGATTACCCTTCCAACCCACTTGCATGCTATCATTATTATACCCTTCCAACCCACTCGCACGTTGTCATTATTATTCCCTTCCAACTGATTCTCATCAATACGGTGCAGTGAATCGGACAAATCGCTGGTTCTCTAACGGTACGCTACAATGATCACTCACCCCGATGGGTGATCACCCTTCCAACCCACTTGCACGCTGCCATTATTATACCCTTACAATCGATTCTCATCGATACGGTGTAGTGAATGGGGCGAGTGATCACTCTTCCAACCCACTCGCACGCTGTCATTATTATACCCTTCTAACCAATTCTCACCGATACGGTGCAGTGAATCAGGCTAATCACCAGTTCTCTAACAGTACGCTAGAGTGTGATCACTCGCCCCGATGGTGTTATCACCCTTGCCACCGGTTCTCTAACAGTACGTTAGAGTGTGATCACTTGACCCGTTGGATAATCACCCTTTCCGTCGGTTCTTTAACAGTACGCTAGGGTGTGATCACTCGCCTCGATGGATGATCACCCTACCAACCCACTCGCACGCTGTCATATTATTACACCCTTCTAATCGATTCTCATCGATACGGTGTAGTGAAACGGGCAAAATCGCCGGTTCTCTAATGGTACGCTACAGTGTGATCACTCGCCCCAATGAATGGTCACGCTTCCAATCCACTCACACGCTGTCATTATTATACCCTTTCAACCAATTCTCACCGATATGGTGCAGTGAATTAAGTAAATCGTCGGTTCTCTAATGGTACGCTACAGTGTGATCACTTGTCTCGATGATCACCCTTCCAACCCACTCGCACGCTGTCATTATTATACCCTTCCAATTGATTCTCACCTATATGGTGCAGTGAATCAGGTAAATCGTTGATTCTCTAATAGTACGCTACAGTGTGATCACTGGCCCCGATGATCACCCTTCCAACCCACTCGCATGTTGTCATTATTATACCCTTCCAACCAATTCTCACCGATATGGTCCAGTGAATCAGGCAAATCGCCGATTCTCTAATGGTACGCATCACTCACCCCGAAGGATGATCACCCTTCCATCCCACTCGCACGTTGTCATTATTATACCCTTCCAACCTCTCACACGCCACTGTACCATCGCCCCCCTCCCTTACACCCCACGCCTCCCCACACCACTGTACCAACGCTCGCCTTGAAAGGCCACGCGTCCCCTCCTCCCTCCACAAACAATGAGGATGGCAGCCTCCCACGCTCTCATACTCTTTAATACTTTGCTACTCACTCACGTAGAATCATGGATTTTATATCATCGTATTACACTCCAATTTTTCAGATGTGGG